TGCAAATCTTCCCACACAGTGACGTAGACATGTGGGGGCGTGTTTAAACAAGGTGTTTTAGGAGGGCGTGTACAAGTCTTAACTTTTATAAAGAATATCTCTTTGGGTCTTTGCAACTTTAGGGATCTTATCTATTCATGAACAGCTTGTAACACTCCAAAGAGAAAGGAAAACTTGAAATCGCATCATATGACCCCTTCACAGCTGATGTGCCAAATTACACTGTAAAATCAAGCTATAGCAACCAACATGTAAGCAAACAAGAACATAACACAGAAATGTTTAACCAGACGGCAAAACAAATTTATAATGCCTGAAAAATCACGTGTTTAATCGATCTCTCCAGTGCTCGTGATTACTGTGACGTCACTTGTGATCCAGACCTAACGGTGTCTAGGACCCCGCGAACTCCTTCCTGCTGACGGGCCTCTGCGGCGTCTGAAGATCGAGACGGCGGAGCGGAGCAGGCCGGTGCCGGTGCCGGGGAGGGTCAGGACGGGGAGAGACGCGGAGGGAAGACGGGCAGCGCGCAACCACCGGAGGGTTCAGTGCATGGCGTGCATGGCGAAACGGGTAATTAACACAGATATACACACACCGAGCTTCTCTCTGACATATGAGGAGGAGGAGGAGGATGATGATGATGATGAAGAAGATGGTGGTGGTGAAGATGATGATTTCAGATCTGCGCAGATGTGCGTTGCAAAATCCAGCAGCTGCTGCCTTAAAAGAGTTATTTTTCTGTCCGCTCGCCTGAGTTCATATGACATGTTAATTCAGTTCAGTTCGCGATAGTGAAATGAATGTGTGAATGAAGCGAGCTGAAGTCCGTCAACCGGCATTATACTTCATCGTCAGGGTTTAATGCAATATCTATCAATAACTTTGACTTTATCTCAACTTAGAGTGTAAATATTCCTCTTACGTGACAAACGAAGGTTAAAAATAACTGTAAGGAACAAAAAGCTCTTCCGGTTGATCTTGAGATGTTAATTCATGTGAGGCCTCTTTCAGGATTTGTGCAAATGTCGTTATAGCAAAATATGTTATATTCATTGGTTTTTGATGTTAATGAGGTTTTAAATATTTATAAAATATATTTTAGAAAGCATGAAAGCTCTTGACCTATATTAGTGTATATAATACATGGTGTCTCCACTGTAGCTTATTATATTAACTGTAATTAAATATGCGTTTTTGAGTGTGTGTTTATTCATGAAGGTCTGTCCACTCTAAGCACACCTGTGTCAGGTGTCCTGGGTTTCACTGCTTGTGTGGACTGTGACCCACAGCAGGTCACGCTTCTGATCACTCATGCAACTTTATGAACACCTTGAGCTCTTTCTAAATGCTCAGAAATATATAAATAAATATTACAGCAAAGGAGAACGAAATTTTTCCTTTTTTTTATTATTAGAAAGCATGCTGGCAGTAAAAACATTATCTGAAGAACATTTAATATCAAGAACTTTGTAATCTCCAAAGAGTGAAATACAGTGAAAGTTTTTTTTTTTTATAAGAAGAAGATTCTGTGCTGAACCTGAAGGTGTTGCAAAAACTTTATTCTGGATTTTCCCTTTCATTTCTTCTACTTGCTCATTGTTTAACATCAGAAACGCCCTATTGTGTGATCTAAAATAGTGGCCAGGCCGAATTTCCTTTTCCTAATGGCTCGTGTGTTTAAAAAATACTTAAGTTCCATTTAATAGATGTAATTAATTAATCAAATCTGGCGAACATCATATTGTAGTTTATCAAAACCAATTTTTTTTTTCTCAAATCTAATTTTATGTGAATAAGATGACGGCAAACTCATTTCGCTCTTCATCAGTAAAAGCTCTTCATTTTACTGGTGTTCTAATGATATGTCGGAGCTTTTTAAATGAGATTATGTGAAAATGAATGAGATGTTATAAATAAATGAGAAATGCGCTTGTTTTTCCAGAGCGTCATGGAATTGACGCGTGTAGACGCGACGCGACGCGGCCGCGTTATAGAGCGCAAAGACAAACTGGCAGGGATTCAAACGCCCGCCATGTTACAGACTTTCCACATTAAACCACAAACTGGCTGCTGTTTGTCTTCTGTGGACACAAATCAAGTCTTTTTTACGAACTGTCGTGATTTGATAAGACAATC